AAAAAAAAAAAAAAAAAATAATAATATTAATAAAAACCAAATGGCAGACAAAAACATGACATAGTAAATAATGGGAGGGCATTGAAAATTGACTTGATTAAAACTTCCTTACCCGCTGAGGATAGCCATTTATTCTTCCAGCTAAACATTCTAGTTCTCACCACAAAAATAATATAGCTGAAAGCCTTTTTTTTTTTCTTACCAATACCCAAAGGTAAACTCAAATACCTGGTAGAATGGTGTTGTACGATGCCAAGTAACAAAGAGCAACACCTCTATTAGATAGACAACAGAGTATTTTTGCTGAAAAAAATGGTAGATTTTTCCAGGTTTACCTTTTGGCTAGTAAACAATTCATAATCTTTCAGAATAGAAAGTAATTTTTGAATTTGACCCTCCTCGACTTTACAGAAAATCAGTGAGTACTCTACAAACAATAAGTGGGTTAACATTGGCCCTCCAGTGACCAACTTCACTCATTTAAATAATATTTAAAATTAAATTTAGAACTTTTTATTTATGTAAACAAATTAATAAAAATATGTTATAATTTTTTTTAAAAAAAAATCCAGTGTATTTGGTATTTCACCAGTATTTTGGCCGGTCACCCAGTAAAATCGACATTCTACAGTATGAAACCGACATAAACTAGAATTTTGGTCAAAACAATATTTAGAAGGTAACCATGCCGGTCAGACCACCAGTATCCGGTATTACCGGTAATACTGGCCAGTATGTAATACTTAAAACATTGGTCATATCTACTACCAAGTGCACTTTACTAGTAGGAGGGAGAAAGGCATAAAGTAAAGGAAATCCGAAATATTTTGAGATCCCAAAAACCCACATCAGACCACACCTTTCCTTCTACTTATTATTCAATTTTGAACAGAACTTTTCACCCCCAAAACTCCATATATCCCTAAAATCCCCCAAATTTTCTTTCATAAATGGACCACTCTCAAAATCTCGTCCACCGCCATTTCATCAAATTTTCAATCATTCTACTGATTTCCCTCTTCTCATTAATATTACATGCCCAAGGTACGTTAATTACGACTGTATACACACACATTTACACAAAGTGATTATATGTCTGCCTAAATAATTAACACGTTCCATATTTTTAATTCTTTTTTATTATTTTATTTTTTGGCATTTTTCAGCCAGAAAATTACCACAAACGGATCCAAGTTTCAAGGTGAGAGTTTGCTCAATGCTTCTAGTGTGTGTGTGTGTGTGTGTGTGTGTGTGTGTGTGTGTGTTTGTGTTCTGTGTTTTCTGTATTTCTTGAGAACTTTTCTAAGAGATTCTCTCTTTTTTGTTGTTTGGTTCACTCGGTAGACAGTGGAACAAGAGGAGACAATGTGGCGGGTCCGGATCGGGTCGAGCCCGCCCCGTTGTGAGCGGATATGCGAGTCTTGCAGGCACTGCGAGGCCGTTCAAGTTCCCACCACAAACCCACAAGTTAATAAGGCCCGAGTCGAAAACTCGAGCTCGAATGATGATGATGATGATACCACCAATTACAAGCCCTTGAGCTGGAAATGTAAATGTGGGAATCTCATTTTCAACCCTTAAATTAAAAATGTATGTATATATTTTAGTTTCTTTTTGTGTTACATTTTAAATTAATTTCGTTTTGGTTCGGTCGAAACCTGTTCCGATGTTTTGATTGTACTAATGCAGTATATTGAAGCAGAAATTAGACGAACTTTTATGTGAGGCAAGAATTCAGTTACGGTGGTGCAGAGCATTTTTAATGCAAATTTATATCCAACTAACTCATCTAAGGCAATCAATCATATGCGCTCAGCTCTGATTTTCTGAGCCCCTTTTTGTGATATTGTACCACACATATTCTGATTTTGCACGGTACCCATAATCAATTGAATCTGTACCATTCACATCCATCCAACAAAATATTTTAATGCCATTTCAATAAAATAGGAAAATAATAATAATTCTAATCAAACATTGCCACACGCTCCAACTATATTTATCTCTATTTTTTTCAGTGTTGCTAATTTAATTTGACCATTTTAAAAGTTATGAGGGCCATCTATTTCATTTATAGTCTGTCAACTAGTAGACATGGCCAAGGGTCAGACCTGGCCCGAAACCGGCCTCCTCAGAGCCGGTTCGTTGAACCGGCCGTTAGGGCTGCGGTTTGGTCCCGGTTCGTAATTTTTCATTTGTCTCGCCTGGTCGGGTTAGGCCACGGGTTGAAAGATGGGTCGTAGTGTTACTATTTTTTTATAGATCGTACCGGCCGAAATCCGCATGGCACCGTTAAAAAGATAGGGCCAGGGCCTTTTATTTTTTCACAGAAAAGAGTTGTCCTTTACTTCACAGAGTTTTAAAGTGAACACGCAAGAATCAATTTTTCTTTTATTATTTATTTATTTATTTATTTATTTTTGTGACATTATTATTTGTTTGTTTTGATCTAGAAAATAGATAGGTGTATAGGCCTGCAAGCAGGTAGTAGCTAAAAAATTCATTGCTTGTTTTGCCTTATTAACTTAACCGTATGGTTTTCTTCATGATTTTCAAGAAAATTTATATAAAGGTTCTCTCGTTTTCGCCGTTGATATGCTCTGATGGGACGTACGTACGTCTCTGCTAGATTTCATTTCACCACTTCTTTTAATTTTTTGCTTACGGCATCAAATTTGTCATCGTCTGACATAAGATAGGTAATTAAGGGCATTAGGCCTGGTAATTATCTGATGTAATACGTTAATCGAAATGGTATATTTGGAATTTATTATTACTATATGAAAATGAAGCTACGTTTGATTGATTATTCGATGCAGTGTGGACAACTTTACGTCACTAATTGATGTGTGTGCGGGGGGTTAACTTCTAAATTCAGACGAAGTAGATGATACATACAAATTTTTCCACACCGCTTAAACTGGCGCCATAGGTTGGAATTGGGCAAAAACAATCTATAGATCAACTCGCTCTATTGCAACTTTATTTTAGAATAGTGTGTGATATTATAGCACGAGGAGAATATTTAAGTAGACTAGCAAAAATCAGCTTGGTTTATGAGCCGGAAGGAAGCTTGTGGGCCAAGCAGATGCAATGATTCGATTATGTATGGGCTCGACCCAATAACAGTTCGGCCAGTTGCGTTGGCTGAGCATATGTAATAATCTGGTAATGTGTGGGTTTGTTACAATAACGGCTCGGTTGGGCGCATAAAAGGAGCTCTAAATGGGCCGAGAACCGCCGTAAGGGACACGTGTAGTGTAGCGATCATAGAAAGGATAGGTGATCTGACGAACGAGGAGAAAAGCGTACATAGGAAGCTAGGGAGTTACGTATAAAGAAGTAGACCTGGTGTGATGGTATGAGTTTTCACGTTACAAACCCTAATATATAAACTAAGCTTTCCAGGATACTCTACTAACTTGAGGGTCGGAGGCTTACCGCCGGGAACACTTCCCGGCGTCTTTGTAGGTTTCGGGGGCTCAAGCGGTTGGAGATCAAGGAGGGCCGGTCCAGTGTGCAATAGCACATCAGTGTGAAAAATTGGGTCGTCAAATTACCCCTAATTTCCCGAATCTAAAAACCCTCGTTCGTCAAGTTGGGTCGCCGCGTCCTCTTCAGCCGCTGATTTCGTCTCCAATCGAGGTGGGCGGGCACCGGGGCTTTCTTCTCATCTCGTATGGCCACGGATTTTCTGTCATGCTCGTCGTTTTTCTTGATTCCTTGGCGGCGGCGGCGGGGCTGCCCGACGGCTTGGTAGCATGGAGAGGGAGGCTGGGCTTGTTTGTGTCTGGATGCGGACCGTCCTCTGCTTCTTCGTCCGGCTTCTTTGGGGTTGGAACTGTGCGGGGCTTGGTGACCTTGGCGTGTTGGTTCAAGGTAGTTGAGGTTTTGATGAGGTCGGTTGGGAAGATGCCCCCGAGTGTTCTCTTGATCGGGAACCGTAGGGGTGTGAGGCTTGGCTCGGAAGTTAGATGGTGTAGTTAACGAGCTCTTTCGGGAGAAAGGAGTTTCGAAATCCGCTTCCCAAATTGTTGTCTTACTCGCTTTGGTTGCTTTAATCGGGTGTCTGGCTCGTTTTGGCAGGTCGGAGCTTTTATTTGACTGTCGAGGACGACTTTCATTTGTTTGTTTAGTTGTTTAGTTGTTTTGGTATATTCTCCTGTTGAGAGCTTTTGTTTTCTTCTTCTTTTGGGAGTTTTTAGTTGTATTTTATGTTGTAGGTTGACTCTAGGCTACCGAATGTATGTACATGTTCTCTACTAGAGTCAGCCTATTAGGCTGATTAGTTGTTTTTTGGTCTCAGTTTTATTATTAATATATGAGAATCCTATAGTTCCGATAAAAAAAAGGTGTGAAAAAAATTGTTCTAACGTTACATTTTTTTATTATTTTCAATATGTGAAAAGTATTGCGCTATATATAGCACATACTATATATCGTGCTACAATTTATTTCTTCAAATTTTAATATTTTAATTGATGTTTATTTTTAAATATTATGTTTGACAAAATATAAATCAGCAAACACTACTAAAATTTGGTGTATTAGTGATGGACTTTCGCAACGGATTAGTATTAGTGCCATAATTATGATATTTGTAACATAATTTTACAACGAATTCAAAATGGTGTCATAGTTATGAGTTTTTGCAACAAAATCTAATTTATGTATATTAAGAAACCAAATTTCTTTTATTTAGTTGGCTAGATTTAGTTCGAATAAAAAATAATAATTAATTGTTGAAATTAAAAGTACATAATAAGATTTTATTGAAATTTGAATTTCAATTAAAAGATCTATTTTGATGATTAATGTCGAAAATGGCTGCCTTATATACTACCTTTGAATAACATTAAAGGGACTTGAAATTAGCCCAAGTGAAGTGATTTTACCTTTGAAATAGCGATTTAAATTTTCGATTTTGGGTGTCCTCAATTTTTCTGGCTGGCCCTCGCAGTTGGTTTTCATCTACAAAACAATTTATACTCTATAGAAGTGGCTGATCAGTTCTATCATATACCTTCTATCCTCACTCGAAATCACCTATGAACTACAAAAATCACATAAAATTGACATAATGACGTAGTTCATCCTTTTGTACAAGAGGTTTCTAACCAATAGAAAAAAAAAAGTACTAGAAAATCTTAGACAAAATTCTATTTTCTATTAACTAATGCAAGCCCACAACTGTCATTTAAAAATGTTATAAGATCCATTTATGTCTATGCTAGCTTTTTTTGAATAACACAAAAAGAATAATTTTATGTGAAAATAAGAGCCTCATATATAAATAATATACAAACAATGATTGTTAGATAAAGATTTAAGAGATTGAATAAGCAAAAATATATGTAATATATTAATAATAAACTTTAAATGAGAGTTTAAGAGCTTTAATAAGCAAAAATATATGGCATATGGAATAGTGAGAACTTCCTCCTCCATCTTTTTGGAGATATCTGTTAAAATTGAAACGATACAGAGAAGATTTATTTTACAAAATTAAGAAATAAACATTAAGAAAAATGCAACTAAGGTGAAAATAAGGAAATTGAATTTGCTAATGATAGTAACATAGGATTTAAATGTGAAATAAATAATAATAAAAAAAATAAATATATACCAATATATGTCAAAAAATGTTTCAAAAATACTGTAAAACTAATTAATCACGAATAAATATTTTTGCGCAAATTAAGGTGCCAATTGATAATTATTTTCATTTTAAAGGAGCAATATATTTTGTGTTCTTTTTACGGTCTTCCAATAGACGATGCGAGACTTTTGCCAACAAAAGGGGAGAAGTTCTTGCTGTTGAGCTTGCGCTTGTGCTGGCTCAGGTTGGCCAAAGCTTAAAGTCAAATCAACTTAATACATTAAAAAATGTGTAGCAATTTTAATTGGTGGGCAAAATGAATTTAAAAAAATAATCATAATTTATCATAGAAGGATTTATGTTGGACATCTAGTTGATTGACAAAGACTTCTTTTGTGTATTGTACTATTTTTTTTTTCGAAACGGTAGAGATTGTATTGTTAAAACTCAAAAGAGAGAGTTCAAAGTACAACTAAAAACCAACAATCCGGAAAAGATAAACTGGGAGGCACATACAAGATGACCTAAAGTCTCAACAAACCAAACTAGGACTAAAAGATGACAAAGAAAAAAGAAACTTCGCACCCGCCACTGCTATAAAGCCTAGCAAGATGAAAAGCCCCTAAAACCAAAAGAGAACAAACTAAAAACCAAACATCAAGAACAGAAAAACAAATAAACAACACTAAGAACATCCCATAGCCTTGGAAAACTCCAACCAATCTGTATGTGCTGCAATGATCACTCTGTGAGGTGGCATGAGTGATTTTTGGAAGACCCACAGATTTTTTGACTTCCAACAACCTCAGAAGAGTCAAGAGAGCAGATTTGTTGCCACCATCCTCAAAGATGATTCTGAATTGCAAGTATGAGGGTCCCATTGGACAGGTGATAGCTCCCACAGTCTGATGGCTCTGGAGCATGAGAAAAGTAAGTGCTCCACAGTTTCAGGACCAGCTCCACATATAGAACATGTGGTGTTGTGAATATTTTTCCGGAGTTAAATCAAAAGATTCGACACCGGGTCGTGTCTCTCGAGGAAGGTCAGCCGAATTATTTTGTACGATTATTCAAACACAAAAATGGAAAATAACAGGAATGAAGATCCTAAACATGCTAAATCAAAGTTTGGTTGGTTTTTATTATCAACTATTGCGAATAAATAAAATAAAGCAAGTAAATAACACACGATCACGTAGAACAAATAAGGATTAAGAAGCTAGGGAGTCGGGGATTCCCGCTTTGGTTCGATATGCAACTAACGGGCAAGCGATTGTTCAGCTAAGAAATTCGAATAATCTACCAGATCAAGCATTCATTCCCAATAACTATTCGTAACAAGAGAATAAACTAGAACGGCAAATTAACGAGTCAATTAACTCCCAGGCAATACAGTTACGAACAAGCTTAGTTCATGCGAATCTATTTCGACCGACTCCTCCCCTTTCGGTTCTAAGAGCCGATTAAATAATCCTAGAAGATGTTTAATCAACTAGTCGATATCGGGTTGACAAAATCACGCAAGAACGAATCAAATTCAATCAACGAGCAATTGTAAATTGAAGTGTCACTCCTTCAATAATTCTCAACATTCAAGCATAAATCGAAAACCCTAATTGAGCATGAATCGCATAAATTGAACAATCTTCAGCCCGACAAACGCAAACAGATTCAAAGCATCGATCCCCTATTCCCTAGCATGTGAATTTAGCTACTCATAATCGAAGAAGCAACGAAAGCATTCATCACAACCCAAGAATTCATAATTAACGATAAAGTTAAAGGAAATCTTACGATTGATAAAATCCAAATGTCTCCTTCGATAAACAAGATTAATTCCGAAAGCAATAGCAAAATCCAATGTCAAATTCTTGTTCTACGATGAAATATATGAAGGAACGATGAAAAACAAAAGAGAAGAATGAGAGAATAGGGTTCGGGTTATTTGTCGCGAGGAGAGAATCCTCATCGATCAATCCCGAACATCTATATATATAGCCCCATGTTGCCGCGCCGAGTTGGGGTGTCACGCCGCGAGGACAGGTTGTGCCGTGCCGTGTTGGGGCTTCGCGCCGCGAGGAGCTGCTGTGTCGCGCCGTGGGACGTACCGCGAGGAACTGCCGCGCCGCGAGAGGAGTGTCACACCGTGGAGGATTGCTGCGTCGCGCCGTGCTGTGATGTCGCGGCGTGAAGCTTGGGACTTTGGCGCGGCGCGAAGGTTTCACGAGCTGTGCTTGGGGAAACTTGTTCCAGTCGTGCCGCGGCGCGGGGCGCGCATATGTACCCTCTGTCCGCAACGTGGTGCATGCACGGCGCAAAGCATGGGGCTCACCGCAGCATGAGGCTCGGCACGGCGCGGGGCCTGGGCAAGTGATCACGTTCCGGATTCGTTCGGTCTCGTTTGATAACGGAATTCGAATCCGCTTTTTCTAGTGTACTCCAAATGAAATGCTTTCTTACGTCATGTTCACCCGACACTTCTATCATGAAATATAAATCCGTCCGAGCTTATAACCTGCACACCGAAACAACAACCAACCGGAAAAGCACACGAAGAAACAAACAAAAACACATAAATGACTCCAAATAGAGACAGACAGGGAACAAGACACAAAAACGAATTAAAAACAAACGAAACGACTCAAAATGGGGAAAAAAGAAAGGAAAAATAACAACTAAAAACGTAACAAAAATGGGACAAACAACTCCCCCACACTAAAACCTTTGTTCGTCCCGAACAAAAAGAAAAGAAAAGGCACGAAAGCAGACAAACGAGCATGGATAACAGTTTCAGATAAGACAAGTCTCAAATTAATCAACTAAGCCGAGGAGAATTCCAATGGCCAATATAGCACACCTCAATTACAACTCGAATGCTCGCTTTGAAAAGACAAACTCTTCAAACACAAAAATATAATGTCTGCCTCACTCGGTTCTTTCATGAATGTAAAACTGGAGCACTCAAATTGGTCGGTCATCATGCATCAACATAAGCCTGCTTGTCGTCTATTCCTACTCTAAAACAACCAAAATAATGAATTGTAAATCAAAAGGACTATCGGGTTGCAGTATAGGTATCAGGGAAAGAAAAAATATAAGGATAGAATGGCTCAAATAAACAATCACATCTTCGAGCACATAAACTACTCGAATATCCCACCACCTATCCAAAATCAGCACAACATCAATCATTCCCATCAAAACTCCATGCAACATTCATATATGCCCAACTGAATTGCACTTCAAGTACTCAATTTTTTCTCTTTTTTTTTTATTTCTCTTTTTTTTTTTCTTTTTTTTAAGGGGGTTTGCTTTTTCCTAACAAAATCGAGACGTAAGGACAACATTCTCTAGGTTTAAACATTGGAGGTCATTCAAGTTTCCTAGA